ATCCAATCCTCCCCTTGCTCATAGGCACTCAAAATGCGTTCTCTCACCTCAGGTGAGTGTCGCGCGTACGGTCCTCTACGTTTAATGCGGTCTACGCCAGATCCACGTCCGAACACAGACATCTTAGCTGCCCAGTAGCCCACCGCAAGCCAAAGAAACCGAGATGCCATCACGACGTTACCTATAAATATTGCGCATTGCAATTTACATAGTACATTCCTTTATCGCTTGAATCCACTCCATAGGCTTACCCTTGCTATTTGCCTAAAGACGGTGGCTGTGATGCCATTGGTTTACTTTCCTTCCAAAATGTCATGCCGTCTAAAACCACCTCTAGGCGGGTTGCAGGAATGCCATTGCTGATTCAGCTTAGAGTGTGCAGTGTCCAAGCCACGGCGCATGCATGACCAACCGCAAATGCATGCCTGCCTGACTCCCTCAGACCTCAGGGACTGCGGAATACCAGTTAAAAGATTGCCTGTCTACGCCACCATGGTTAGGCCGCTGAATAAGCCACCACCAGGTAGCGGCTAGCGATCACTAAGTATATACCGTTTCATGTGGTGGTTAGTATGTCTGTGCGCACTGGTTACGGCCTAAGCTCCGGATCATGTGGTAGCTAGGATCTCCTCCCTAGACAGGCATCACAAGTTGCCCATTGTACGATTTCAGTTTGGAAACCAATCATCGGGGTTTCCTTCAGATGGGCATCAAGAAAGAACAGAAGGTGGTGCTCCATCACTTTCATTGGACTGTCTGTCGCTTATGCTGGGGGCTTCCAACCGGTGTCCCATTGGCTAATGTCCCGTGACCAATGAGAGTGTCAACGACGCCAAAACAGCGTTCTTAGCCTCGCTAACTTGAAAGCACTGCACGCGATTTCGAAAATGTCACGCGAAAAGCTTGGTACAATACGCTAACATGCCTGTAAATTGGTATAGATCGTTTCAGTGGCAGAGGACCATCTAGGCAAGCTCAACCATCCTTTATATGCATATCTTGAAGGGGGGAGTGAGGACGATGAGGTAGACAAAACGATGGCACTCATACACATTGGAAGAGGTGAAGAGGGGACTCGTGAGATTATGCCTATACTGTGACATACAACTTCGTTTTTTGTGTATACATGTTAAATCCAGCACACTAAGTGTATGCTTTCAACATGGAAATTGCATGAGAAGTACCTAGGCTAAGTTGCGGAATGAATACGACTGTTGTGCATAGGTGCAGCGAAAGAAAAAAACAACACAGCAGTAGTAAAAATCGAAAAATCTCTGAAAAGTCAGATTATTAGTGGAAGAACGCGAGCACACGTTGCTGAGATCGGACTGGAAATGCATCAACCTTGTCTGCGACAACTATCATCCCATGTGGTTCTGAATTGATCGCAATGGTGCTAACTAATCTTTAGATTTCCCCACAGTTTCATGAGTTTTGAACATACCTCTTCCGAATGCCTTTCAAGCACTCATTCAACATACCTTGCGTCATATCCCGCGCTTGACTGGGCGTACTCTGGTTTTTGTTCTCAATCGGTCTATGGTTATGCACACCTGCCTGATACGTTTTACAATAGATTGTCGGATATCGCACACCTCAGTCCATTTAGGGTTCCTTTCCCTGTACTTATTTCCTCTAAATCGTCCCTCGTTCTGCTCTCGTATGTTCTCCATTTTGATCACCGACTCTTTCTGACTTACAATGTCATGTTGCATCAAAACGAACTCCATATTCCCCTAATGGGTATTTTCAGCATTTCCGTTTTCAAAATAAATGTACTAGACCATGGTATCGCCTTAACATGTCGTAAGCAAGAATTATCAGCAGTTTGAGCTGATACTTCTCTGCAACACCGCCACAGGAATCTAGGGATTGAAGACTAGTAAAACTGATAAGGAAGCTTAGCGTAAAGCCTGGATTTTCTAACCAACAAACCATCCTAACCAGTTGGCTCTCTTGCAAAGTTAAAGTGGTATGGATGAGCCAGCGTTCTCGTAATTTTCACTGCTCCACCTCGTAATCAGCCATTGCTCCTACGGACAACATCAAGCACAGTCTAAATGGACAATGCGACTAGAAGAGGACAGCAAACGCGCCATTGGTGATTGACTACAGGCCATGTGCTTTAAGTGATCAATAAACACAATGACTAGCGGGTTCCACTGTCACTCGAGCATGCGGTCTCGCAACGTGGAGATGACTGTCATTGAATAAACGAATGTCCTTGCTAAGTACGGCAAGACGGAGTTATAGTTCGACGAAGACTTTGGCGATACAACGCTGAACCTTGTACACATACAAGCGATGGACAACTTTTTGATTGCCCATTATATGGAGCGTGAGAAAGATCGTGTGTATTTATTATCTTTGGAGTAAATAGAATCTGTTACTCAAAACATCACCAGATCCCCTAATAATCCACTTCATATAGTAATACACTTTGTCGACCTCTTTCGAAGGAAGCCGCGCAATATAACAAACGAACATTGTAACTAATAAAAGTGGCTGAATTCGATCACAGGGTTAAGAGTCCACTTGTGCTATACTTAATGCATTTATAGGCCAAATAAGAATTTGGTCGTGTGATTCAGCAAATTGTGTTCTGTACCATGCCATGATGTGGGAAAGACATCAAAGCACTTAATTGAAGAGGGTAGATAAACGGCGTGGTTTAGCAGCTTGAAACAGGAGGCGAGGAAGTGTTTACATAAACTCACAACTTTGTAGTACTAAGAAAAGAAATATCCCAACTTTCAGAGGCGGAGAGCAAAAGGGATCGGTGTGAAAACGTACATAGCTTCGTTTGCTTCTCTTTGAATCGCCAGTGACCGAAGGGATTGCGCGCTTGCTTTGTACTATGGAGGTCACCGGTTCGAATCCCCCCTTAGATAGGGGTGACTTCTCGATATCCGTAGCCAACACTCGACTAATGGTGGTCGCGTGGTGATAAAGTGCCGGTACGTGCCGGCGTACTACTGATGCCTTTCTTATACCAGCAATACCTCGACACTGGGAACTATGAACTCAAATACAGTCCTGTCGGTGTAGGAAGCGTAGGAAGTACTTCAACGTGTTAAGAAAACGGGAAATGATTGAAGTTGGCCTACTGCATGCACTTCCATAAACAGAGCGAAAAAGAACTTTTTCCATTTAACGGGGAAGCAATTGCTATCTAGCAAATGGTTACTCTTCGTCCTGAACTTACTTGCGTGGACCTCATTCGCAAACAACAGCTCGTTCAGCCAATGGTCTGGCACAACTCACAGGTGCATCAGGGAACAAAGGCTGCACGGCCCTACTCTTATTCGGTGCGAACGCTACGGATTGCACACGCTGCGATACAGCATTTGGTGTAAATCGCTGAATAATTTCAACAAGACGGGTTTACTTGCAATCGAATTGCACTTTTTGAAATTCCTTTTGCAACACTGGTGTCAATCCGGCTGGTCTTCAAGTATCATTGGTCATTTGTTGAAGTAATTGTTTAAGGTGACATTACAGGCTCGATACATTCCTTTAAGGCGACCATCCGGATTACTAGTTTATTTGATCTTAGTGTGTTGAGTTCGGCGTGGACTTCTGTGTAATCCGGAGCGACTGGAGGGTCTCAGTTGGTGATGGCAGACAGTGTGAATACCCCCGACAATGATGTGTTGAATTTAGCATCGTGTTTATCCAGATCCCCAGCATTCATCTAGCTGCAGCGACTTTTACGAGATGGCTGCTCCAGTACCCTTCATAGGTCACCGCGACTGTGGTTTCTTAAAACAGTTGCAGTGTACATAATGTTCAACCTTCCACTCCATTCTTGACCGCAAATAGTGTTTGGCACCACTGTTCGTTTCGTCCTTCTTTCCTCTGAGGTTGTTCAAATGGGACTTAGGACTATCTGTCAACGTTTAAGTGGATGTTTTCGACAAAGCAAATCAGGTTGGGGCAGGAATTTACGTATTGCGTACTTTTTGGCAATGAACTGACACCTTTTAAGACTGGAAGATCAGTTGAAGCGATCATCAATGGGATCCCCGCTACTTATCCTCCTTTGAACTGCTCCTTTGTTTCATAGCTTTTATGCGGTTTTCGTCAGGAACATCCGGGTTATTTTGCTCTATACAATGAGTAGTATCTTCATGCTGTAGTGATCAGCGATACTGTGAAGCACAGGTTATATGAGTAGAGCAAACTAATTTTGTTATTGAAAAGTTGCTTTAACTGTGAATCGCGTTCGGTCGGGAATTGCGTCCGGTTGGTCTCACACCACGTGTCATGATAAGTAGTACCGTATCACCTTAATGCACTTCGATTATAGCAATACGGGCAGGGCATTTTTAGTACCAGTATTAACATTTGGACTGCGAATCTCTTTACCATCGGCGATGAGGCGTCGGTGGCTGTGTAGACATCTCACATAACGACAGATATGAGGATATTCGAACATTTCCATTTGCATATGCTCATAGCCCATCCAGATTGTTACATAGGTGAACAGCCTAAATACTTATCTACACCATTTTTGGCTAATGCAGTTGATGACATTTCCACCGCGATTTTAAGTCTTCTCCTCTATCGTCGTATCCAGCGCTATGAAATCTATCGCTTTTAATAAGCCTCTAGCTTCCTTACCAAAATGCAACCAACGTACTCGTGCTGTCCACATAATAGCATTGCGATCAACGAAACTGACATTCTACTAGTTGTGCAAAGTCTGAGGCCGGTTTGCTAATCAGTGCGGTACTGTATGCTTTTTCGAACACTCCAACAATCAATTCGAGTTTCCGGCATTTTCTTTATTATTCTGCCCAATGTGTTCCTGACTGGCCACGACCTCACCAGAAAGCAGCTAACAGCAATAATCCAAATAAACAGGAACGTCTATTTTATTAAAGCCTTTCTTCAAGGCATTGTCCATTTGAAATAGCTATACAGTGCATGCTTGGCCATCCTAATGTTTCACTCTCAGTAATCACCGTAATCCTATCAGGTTTTCCGCTTCCTTTTTAGACCGTCGAGGACCTTCGCGACATGGTTGTGGATCCGTCCTTATTCAAAAGCCATTTGAGTAAGGAACTGGCCCACAGGATACCGAGCTTAGCTTCCGTTGAAGTATGTCTCTGTCACTTGTGCATAATTCACTGAAGTAATCAAACGTATAGGCAGTTTTTGGTGACATCAACTATTTTTGCTTTCCAGTCGCTCTTATCGAGACTTCTGTCACTGGCTACTTACGCACAAACTACTAGGCAGTCACCGCTAGTCTCCTATGACTCACAGCGCAGTGTCATTCGGCGGGGCGTAGCGATAAATCACCATGTCCTCTTGCTGCTGCTCCTGTCTCATTGTCTTCCAATTGACCGCATGAATTCGAAGCATGTCTTCGGTTTGCGTATTTCATGCATACCTCATCTGCCAAGACATGTTGGCTGGCTGCAAGACGATTCTGAAAAGTAAATTCGGTATGGCTTGTCAAACTCAAAGTCATTTGTTTGACGGTCGCCATAAATCACTCAGCGTTGACCTTGGGGCTTACTCTAACCAGTACGCTCCATTCGCGGCAAGACTGAACCTTAACATGCTGCGATGGTTTGCCCGCCTCATTGAGCTATGCTGGGTGGTGTTTATTTACACATTCAGAGCCATTCATACCAGATTGGTCAAGGGTTAGAGGCCAGACAAACTCAGTATGCTGGCCCTCCACGTTGGGGGTTGGAGTGAGAGTGGCTCCTTACTCCATAAAACGGGCTCTCTGTAGTCCAGTGCCAAAATCCCGCTGCCTTGCGGGAAGATTTTTGAACCAAAGACTGTTGTTGCGAACTCTAATCGTTCTCCTATCTAGGTCTGGGCAACCTGACAGTATTTTGCCCACGCAATACACCATGACCTTTCCTTCTAACAAACTCTTGATGCTCTTGCCGTTGCAGAGGATAATAAACGGTGTCCTATCTACTGCATCGAGCAGGGTGGATAGGGGTTGAGATGCTACTGCTCAGACTTTCCCGCGTTCTTATTCCTCTTCTTGCGCTTTTTCCTCCTTAGCGTCCCGCTACAATCTCACTTTTATCCCCCACTCTTGGCCCTCCCCCACCTTGCTTCAGTAGTCGCTTGTCTCCTAGTTTCCACTCACACAACCACAGGGTGCCGCTCTAGTCTAGTCGACAAGTCCACGTTCAACCCAGCGGAAGACGTCAGTTCATCCGTTTCTCTTTGAAGTCCTCGATCCTCGCTAAAACTGGCATACCTTAACGTGCGCACTTTGCTGCAGATTGGCCAACAGGCAGCACTTGCCCGCACACTAGAGACCCTATTGATCGATATTTACTGTTTATCAGAAACTCACCTGCATGATTCTAGCTCCGTGCTTACTCTTCGATCCCCCACTTGCGACACTGGCGGCACATTCTGATTGCGACTGTCTGGCGATGACGTAACTTCAAATGCAGATCAAGCTGGCGTCGGCATTATTTTGAGTCCCCGGGCTGAAGCTGCCCTGATCGACTGGATCCCAGTCAACAGCCGGATGTGCGACGTTAGGTTAGCTGGCTCGTTCCAGGCTTCGAAGTCGCGCGGGGACAAATGGTGCCTGTTTGTCATTGCGGCTCACGCCCCTATAAACTGTAGCACTGATTCGGTGAAAGATGCTTTCTATCACCAACTTAACAATCTCTTTCGTTACAGAAGAAGCACGGATGCTGTGGTGCTTGCTGGTGATCTAAACGCCCAACGGAAAATTGTCCTCTGATGAGCTTCATCTAGGCGGCCAACATGGTGTAGGCTCACGTAATGATAACGGTGAGCGATTGCTACAGCTGTGTGAAGATGCTCGTCTCTTTCTCGCGGGCACAAACTTTCGACACAGCACACGCAGAAGCGTGACTTGGCGCCCACCAGTCTCAGGCCAGCCATGACCGCAAATCGATCATATCGCTATCAGTTGCCGCTGGAGAGGTTGTGCCGAGAACTGCCGCTCGATTTGGAGCACGAGCGGGGACTCCGATCACGCTTTGTGTGTGCCGACCTCCGGGTGCGTTTCGGTGGACTTCCGCAACGTCGATGTGAACATATTGACACCAGCCAGTTAGCGGAGCCAGGTGTTCTGAATGTGTATCAAAGTACGCTGGCATCTGGGATGAGTAAGCGCCCACTGAACATCCTCGAAGATCACTGGATGCATATTCGCCAAACGTTACCATCAGCAGGCATGTTTACATGTAGCAAATCAAACTGTCAAATTGGACATTGGGTCTCTACACAGTCTCTGGAACTTATGGATGTTCGCCGACCTAGTCCGGCTGGAAGCAAATACAATGAGACTCGTAAAAATCTCAGGGCAATCTGCGTGCTAGTGTGAAGAGAGACCGCGAAATCTGGTGGTTTCATCGTGCCTCGGAGATGGAAACAGCCGATGCCGTTTGGAATCATCGTAAGTTACTCCGTCTGATACAGGAAACAGACAGCAGGAGACCTGATGTTAGCGAGACCATACGCGACGAGAGTGGGCAGCCTATCCACAGCCTGTCAAAATACTTGGAGCGTTGGGCCAAACACTGCAAGGCAATTTAACCAACCTGAGTTATCGCCTTTTTTTCAAGCATTGGGCACCCTACTACCTGTGCCGTCTCCTTGGATTAGCCCTCACGCGCAGAACTCGAACGTGAGATCAGGCTGTTGAAATTGCATAAGGTCGCAGGGGCAGATAAAATTCCCCCAGCCCTCTTCAAATTCGGGGGACCTGCTCTAGTAGATGATTTACACGAGTTGCTACTGAAATGTTTGGAGCAGGAGACTGTCCCGACAGACTGGAACCGCTCCGTCATTGTCCCAACTTTCAGTGGAGGCTCCCGTTCGGAATACGGCTATCATAGAGGGATCAGTCTAATCCCAATTGCCTCTAAATTGCTTGCGACTGTCGTTCTCCACAGACTGACTGGCGCTCTTGAAAGCCACATCCTTGAAGAGCAAGCCGGGTTTCGTCGTGGTCGGGGTTGCATCGACCACATCTTCACCTTGCGTCAATCGTTGGAGTACCGCTATGTTTATTGCCGACCCACCGTTGTCGTGTTTCTTGACACAAAAAGTGCCTTCGATTCAGTCGATCAATGTGCCGTTTGGGACTGTCTGTTGAGGAAAGTTATGTTTGATAAATACGTAAACATTATCGAAGCACTGTATGCGCATAGTTCAGGCAGAGTGAGGGTTTATAGCAAACTTCCCTTCAGTATCACCATTCTTCAGTATCACCAGCGCTGTGAGACAAGGTTGCCCGCTGTCACCTTTCCACTTTAGCCTCCTTATTGACGAAATCATGGAAACAGCATTCGCTGGATACGACCTAGGTGTGGAGCTACTCTCTGGTGAGCGACTTCTTGACTTGGAGTATGCGGGCGATATTGCCCTAATCTGTGACAGCTCCCAAACATGCCAAGCAGCACCGGACTGATTAGCACTTGCTGTCAGTCGTTTTGGGCTATGCTTTACTCCATCGAAATGCAAAGTCCTTTTCCAAGATTGGCAGGGACCCACCCCAACGCTGACGCCTGGTGGCGATCAGCTAGAAATTGTTCAGAAATTCAAGTACCTGGGCAGCTCCCGTGGGATCGAAAATGAGGTTACGAACCGTATAGCAAAACCTCGAGGTGCTTTTGCCAATCTCCGCCACCTGTGGGGCAGAGGCGACATCACTCTCGCCCTGAAGGGCAGAGTTTGCAATGCCGCCGTGTGCCCAACCTTTTTGCACTGTCGTGAAACCTGGCCCATCAAGTCGACAGACATAAAGGAGTTCGTCACCTTCGATCCTCGCTGCCTTCGCAGTTTAGCTTAGATCTGGTGGGAGCACCGCGTGAGCACTGAGCGTGTTCGGCGTCGCGTATTTGGTACAGGAAGTGCGAGTAAACCGCTCAGCACCATTCTATCACGCACCAGGCTCCGATAGCTTGGCCACGTGTTGCGCATGCCAGCACACCGACTTCCACGACGTGCATTATTTGCGCGCTGGGGGTGCGGTTAGAAGAGGAGGAGAGGAGACCAAGTGATGACTTGGTCGACAAAAATGAAAACCCTCACTTAGCAACTAGCGTCGGTTGGTACATCCCGACTTCCTGGCTGGGGTCTTAAGGACGATAAACACGTTTGGTTGGACACACTTGCTGATATGGCGAAGAGTCGGCCCCAGTGGCGTTTGTGTTATGAGTTTCTTTGTCCATCCCCCTCCCTTTAGACTCCCCCTCCAATCAGGATCTCGTACAAAACGTATAATATAATACTTAACATCATATTACTTGCTTGGAATCTTTGTTGTAGTGTTATTTTTAGTCTCTTATCTTTTTGTATTGCGGCACATTAGCTGAGGTGTTTCTCACCCTCACCTAACGTGTATTGATGCTTCTCCTGAGCGTTGGCCTCGTGGTCGATAACATCAGTAGTTAAAGGTCCTGTCTTCCCGGGCTCCGTTGCCGGGCCGATGGCATTGTTGCATTCGCTTTCGTTAATCTTGCTGTTAATCGCACTTACGCCCTGTGGCTGTTCGCAGTCGCAGTGACTAGCAAATCCAGAAACGCATGCCACCAAACATATATATATATATATATATATATATATATATATATATATATATATATATATATATATATATATATATATATATATATATATATAAATGGTTGGCGGCAACCGGTTTCGGATTTGCCTGTCACTGTGGCCAGCCACAGGACGCCTGCGCCTACAGAGGGACCATGGGTGGCTTACGCTGCACCACCCACAGCTCCATCCACACACCGCATATCCAGTGTAAACCCGAAGGAATAAGACCGGGAGGCATGTGGATGGGAGCCACGTTTCATCAACGGAGCCGGCCCACACTCCTTCACAGGCAAACACAAGCACGCTGTATTTGGGGAATCAAGCGCACACAAGGCGGTGGCTGGACCGTAGTCCGCTCCACACTGAGTGCATGAAACCACTCTTCGAGCCTAGCACGGCCACAAGGACCGTGCACCCCGTCCCTTCCAGCAACGATCAACTGTCTCCTGGAGCCAGTATGGACGAGGTAGTGGGTAATAGACAGGTAGGCACCTTGTCAACATGCACATCAAGCGCAGCCACACCGGGGA